TTGCAGATATTCGTAAGCTTTTTAGGAAAGCAACAGAAGCCCTGTTTACTATGAATACATAATGAGCACGTTGCAAAAGTTTCCAGCATACAAGAGCTTCGCCATCAGAGAGCATTACTTCATCATCCGAAGAGTGTTAAACATAACAGACAAGATTTGTCTTCGAATAAAACTAATCTTTCTTCCTCCACAAAAAAAATAAAACAGAATTGCTAACAGCATGATATGTAACCATCGCCTTGCATTGCACCTGCAAAACTAGTCAACAGCAGACTTTAAACATGCAAGCAACAAGCCTGCTTCAAAGATCTCTAATGCTATTTATGGTGTGATGCTGCGGGTACAATTTTATTAAATTATTTGCCAACAATGCCAAAATTTGGGGGATATAGCACAGCCGCCGTATGGACCACATCAATCCGCAAACGATCAGTTTGAGGTGATTCTAGATACTACCGCACATAGAGAAAGTGTTCCATACGTAGCTGCCATACATAGCTACGGCTGCCTTCATGTAGATGTAACTCCAATGGAAGGGTGGAAAGGCGGGTGTATTGGAGGGGGGGGGGGGGGGAGTCGAGCCGGGTCCTGATTTATCTCCGTATTTTAAAATTACACTAATGGCGTTGCACAGAATATGAACCTAAATTTTCTCCTTTCCCCGCCGCAGTCACCCGCGCCGTTCAGACCAAAAAAAAATCGCTGTACTCTCCGCGGATGCATTGCGGTTAACTTCACTCCCAACGACCGCGCTGTTCAGTTGAAAGTATTTCTTGAGCTAAATATTTCGGTCCTTGCAGTTCATAGCATACCTTATACCATTTCTGGCTTAGATACCCGCCTAGATCCAGAGAAATGTCCTCAGGTGGCAATCACTGGTTACCACTGACTAGAATAACGCGCAATATCTGCAAGAAGGTTCCCAACAATTCAAAACTACTGAACGTTTCACGTAATGGGCCTCGGTAAAACCAGTCCGAGTCGGCGAGAATGTCGCCTCGCTGCACGAACAGCATTACTGCGTGGCGAGCGGGAGAAAAGGGCGACTGTCGGCGCCGGAGGCAGCCAGTGCCGCATCCATCCGAGTCTAATCACGGCCCCAGATCGGGTGACGCGCCGAAATACAGCCGAACGGCGACGGCGACGACGCGTCTGAGAACGGCGACCGGACGGACCGCCGACGCCGCGCCGGCCGCCCCATTAGCGAATTGGCGGCGGGCGGGCCCGGCCGGGCCGGCGGGCCAAGCCGGGCCGGGGCGGGCGGCCGGGCCAAGCCGGGCCGGGCCGGGCCGGGCCAGGCCGGGCGGACCAGGCCGGGCTAGGCCGGGCGGACCAGGCCGGGCCGGGCCAGGCCGGGCCGGACCAGGCCGGGCCGGGCAAGATTTCGGGGCGGCCGGCATCGATCGCCCCCGGCGACGGCGGACCCGGCGGGCGCCCGGCCGCTGACGAGGCGCGACCGCCGGCCGTCGGCAGCGACGGCGGCCGTGACCGGTCCGTCGAGGCCGACAGCTGTCCGCGGGACGGCGGCCACGGCCGTCGCGCCACGACGGATCGCCGGACGAGCCGTGACGGTCTGCCGCCAACCGTCGGCACCGACGGCGGCACGGAATACGCCACGGCATGCGTTCCTCGCCGGCACCAAGCCGCCGCACTAAGCGAGCCCGTTCGGCTAAGCGACACGATTTACCGAACAAAGAAGCGGGGTCCAACTGGCCGGGCGGCGCGGCTTCAAAGAAAGCCATGAGCTAAACGACGCGGCAAATGTCTCGGAGAAGTCGGCGTCGACATTGACCGGGCACGACCCGGCACCGGACACCGGGAACAAAGCGGTGACGCAGCGGGGCGCGGCGCCGCCGCCGCCGCACCGTCGCGGCAGCGGTCGCCGCCGTAAATCTTCATCATGCGCATGCATTATAAGAGGACCGGCCGAGAGGAGGCGACGCCACAGTCACGTGCGGCCGTGCCGCTGGCCCGCCGGCCCACTCGAATTCCGAGGAGCCGGGGCGAGCCTTTCCCGGGAAGCGGCGGCCGGCGTCGCCGTCCCGGCGGCCGACGTCATATCACAGCGGCCGCCGGCCGGTCTGGCACCGCGTGGCGGGTCATCTGTCACCGGCCACCCACCGGCGCCGGCCGATGGCGCGCCCGAGGAGCAGCCCCGCAGCCGGACCGGACTCTGGTCAGCAGAGGAGCAGCCCCCAGCCGGACCAGACTACGGTCAGCAGAGGAGCAGCCCCGCAGCCGGACCGGACTCTGGTCAGGAGAGGAGCAG